AATGAATATAGGGGTGCATATGTCTTCTTAAATTAGTGTCTTTGTTTTCTTCTTTTTTTATTATAATTTTTTTAAAGATTTGTTTATTTATTTATACAAGCACTGGGTACAGTCAGAAGCGTGGGAGGGTAAGAGAATTCACCAGAACCAGAGCGGGGAGCAGAACACGCAGACCAACGAAACACACTGAGGGGGGCAGTGGGTGCGGCAGGAGAGGTCTGCACGCCATGTGGGACCCTCGCTGGCAGCCAGGGATCGAACTGGTGCTACAGAGGCTGTGGGCAGCTTCGCAGGCCAGCGCTCAACCACTGCACCACCAGGAGGCCCAGTGTCTTTGTTTTTTTCAAATAAAAACCCAGAATTGGGATTACATGGTAGTTCTATGTTCCCCACATCCTCTCCAACATTTGTCATTTTCTGTCCTTTTGATAATAACCATTCTAACAGGTACAAGGTGACTTGATTTGCATTCCCCTGGTGATTAGTGATGGGCATCTTTTCATGTACCTGTAGGTCATCTGCATTTTTCTTTGGAAACATATCAATCCAAATCTTCTGCCCATATTTTTTTTAAAGAATTATTTATTTATTTTATACAAGCACTGGGTACAGTCAGAAGCGCGGGAGGGTGAGAGAATTCACCAGAGCCAGAGCGGGGAGCAGAACAGGCAGACTGATGAAGTACACTGCTGAGGGGAGCAGCGGGGGCTGCAGGAGATGTCTGCGTGCCATGTGGTACCCTTGCTGGTGGCCAGGGGTCAAACTGGTGCTGCAGAGGCTGCAGGCAGCTTTGCAACCCAGCGCTCAACCTCTGTGCCACCAGGGGAGGCCCTCTTCTGCCCATTTTTAATTGTTGTTTTTTCACTCTTGAATTGCATGGGTTCTCTATTTTAGATGTTAACCCCTTATCAGATGTGTGGCTTGCAAATACTTTCTCCCATTCAATTACTCAGCATTCAAAAAAGATAAACACATGCAATTTGCAGCAACATGGATGGCGCTGGAAGGGATCATGCTCAGCGAAATAAGCCAGAAAGAAAAAGAAAAATACCGGATGGTCTCACTCATAGCAGGAATCTAGAAAACTTAAATAAGGGACCAGGAAAATGAAAAACTGTAAGAAAGTGAAAATCAAAATCAACAAAAAACTATGAACCAGAGACACTCTATGGGGGGTGGGGGGTGGGGAGGGAGGGACTGGGGTCAAAATAAGGGGGCTGCAATTGTATGGGAATATAAAAATAAAATTTATTTAAAAAAAATACTTTCTCCCATTCAGTAGACTGCCTTTTCATTTTATCAATGATTTCCTTTGGTGTGGGAAACTTCAATTTAATGTAGCCTCACTTGTTTATTTTTGCTTTAGTTGCCTTTGCTTTTAGAGTCAGATCCAAAAAATCAACATCAAGACCAGTGTTAAGGAGTTGATTGTCTATGTTTTCTTCCAGTTTTATGGTTTCAGGTCTTACATTCAAGTCTTTCAACATTTTGAGTTAATTTGTGTGTATGGTGAGAAAGAGAGTGAGCTCCGGGTTCATTATTTTGCAGGTAACTGTTCAGTTGTTCCAGCACCAATTTTTTTTTTTAATTTATTTATGCATACAAGAACCGGGGTATAGGCCAGAGATGCGGGAGGGTGAGAGGATTCACCAGAGACAAAGTGGGGAGTAGAACAGGCAGATCTACTGAAATACACTGCTGACGGGAGCAGCAGGCAAGACTGGAGGGGTGTATTGTACCATGTGGGTTAGCTTCCTGACCAGGGATCCAGCTCATGCCACAGTGGCTGTGATAGCTCGATAGTGGTGAGACTTCAACCCCCGCACCACCAGGGAGGCCCCCCAGCACCAATTATTGAAGTGACTGTCCTTTCCCCATTGAAAATTCATGTTCCTTTGTCACTTATTGACCGAATTTGTATGGATTTTTTTTTTCCTGGGCCCTCTATTCTGCTTCATTGATCTATGTGTCTATTTTTTTGTTTTGTTTTGAATTTCAATTTTTATTTTTTATATTAATTTTTTACATCATTGTTCATTTTTAAACAATATTTGCTTCCCCCTACCCCCTCAGGTGTAGTCCCCATAGAGTTTCCTTCCCCAATGCACCCGTGCACCATCACCTCAGTCCCCTGTGCTCCTCCCTCCCTCCCTCTGATCCCTCTCCCTCCTCCTCCCCTGCAGGATGTCTCTGATTTATAATTGTCCTTTTTTGCTTTGTTGTGTTTTGAACTAGTAATGAATACTGTTTTGAATGGTACAACTTTGTAACATGGTTTGAAATCAGGAAGTATGCATGTAAAGTCTCCAGTTTTGTTCTTTCTTGGAATTGCTATAGATATTTGGGAGTCTTTTGTGGTTCTGTACATATTCATGATTGTTTTATTCTATTTCTGTGAAAAAAATATCATTGGAAAAAATTATTGGAATTTTGACAGGGGTTGCACTGAATCTATAAATTGCTTTGGGTATTATGGACAATTTAACAATATGAATTCTTCCAATCCATAAACACAAATGTCTTTCATTTTTCTTTGTGTTCTCCTCACTTTCTTTCATCAGTGCTTTATCATTTTCAGTGTATATATATTTTACCTCCTTGGCTAAATGTATTCTTAGATATCCTAGTTTTGTTTAATGCATTGTAAATGGGATTGTTTTCTTAATTTCTCTTTCTAACAGGTCACTATTAGTGTACAGAAATACAGCCAATTTTTGTATATTGATTTTATATACTGCAACTTTACTGAATTCATTTATTAGCCCTCACAGCTTTTTGAAGTCTTTAGGGTTTTCTCCTTGCATGTTTATATATTATTACCATATCATCTGTAACTAGTGAAGTTTTACTTCTTCATCTCCAATTTAAATATCTTTTCTATCTTTTTGTTACATATTTGCTCTAGCTTGGACTTTCACTACTATATAGAATAAAAGAGGTTTAAGTGGGTATCCTGGTCTTGTTCCTGACCTTAGAAGAAAAACTTTGAGCTTTTCACTCTTGGGTATGATGTTAGCTGTGGGCTTATCATATATGGTCTTTGTTATGTGTCAAGAATGCAGGTGCCTAGGCAATACACAAGCCCCATGGAGTGGGTGTCCAACTTGGGGAAAACTGTTCCACAGTCTGGAGCTGGAGATGATCCTGGTGGAGCAAAAAGCATGGGTTTGGAGAAGACACTCAAGCCACAATTAGCCACAAGCACTCTATCCACCCCAAAACTTGCCCTCTGAAGCTCACAGCAGCCCAGAGGAGGACAGCAGCAGGCTGTTGCTGGATCCACTGCCGGGCAAGTAGCTATAGAAGACATCTACTGCTGCAGGAGGCCTTGATGCCCCAGCCAAATAAGACACTGGCAAGCAGCGAAGCTCAAAGGGCCTCACACCATGGGGCCAAAGTTAAAGGGCCTCACACCATGGGGCTGAAGATTCCTTGTGCCTCACACCATGGGGCTGAATTTAACATCCCTCTATTTTTTGTTCTTGGTCATAAAAAGAAAAAAATTTATCAGAAAAGTACTTTAGGCAATAAATTATATGTATCAGTAGACTGCAAGCAATTGGCACAGAAAATTACCTGTTTAGAAATTAGTTATTAAACAATTTGGCCCACTTGACAATGGGAGACGATTTATTGTACATATCTGACAAGCAAATCAGCACGACTATTATAGTAAGTCCTTCTTTTGCTTTTTTAGAAGTCCTTTTTATTTAGAAGTTTCTTAGGAAAGTTTTTAAATGAAGTTAACTGTGTTAAAAAGTTTGTCGGTAAAAAAAGTTCTGATAGCTGAGTAGCAGCTGGTTTCCGGCTGAAGGCCATATGAATAGAATAGTCTTTTGATGCTTAGGCTTTAGCTGATAGGGATGTACTGGCGGCTATCCACTGTCTTAGGTAATTGTCTAGCTAAAATAATAAGTTTTAGTGTTAGGTTTGGTTTTTTATCTATTAACCTTTAAGGCTACTGTCTAGCTGAGACCCGTAGGAGCCAGTAGTCTATGGGAATATAATACAGTAATTGTTTCTGTTTTACACATGATGATGTATTTTTTGATTACTAATAATGAATAAATAAAGACCTGCTGAGTCTCTCGGCAGAAGATACTTGCACCTCATCCAGTGTCAGTGTCTCCTCACTACCTCATCCCCTTCCCTTCAGTCCTTTACATGCACCTAGGCCATCTTTTCCTTTCAAGGACTTCTGACCCAACATTTGGCCAAAAGCTGGTCTGCGGCAATCTACCTAGAGTGACCACACTCCCCCTGCCTGCAGAGGAGTCCCTGTCTCCTTTGGGCAGATGCCACCACCACCAGCCACAAGAGAGCCTGAAGGCGCTTCCCACTATGGTACCCCCAGCTGCTGTGCTGGGGCTCCCTACACCCCGTGGACCTGGGCCTGTCGTTTTGCAAGTCTGAGCATAGAAAGGCCATGTCTGCCGGCACCCCCATCCTCCAGAGGCGGTCCACCAGCGGCTCAGGTCCCAGGAGCCTACCCGCCAGCCTGGGACGGAAGAGACGCGCATACGCCCTCAGAGACCCCCTTACGGCCACAGCCCCCCTCCCCCTACCAAGTCTACCAAGGACTGGGACTCAGACACGGGAGCTTCGGGGTCCCTCTGCATGACCTGTTGCCTGACCTGTCAATCTACCCTACCGCTGTCCACCAGAACCAGCACCAGCACAGGTCACCCCGAGATGAAGCCAGCAGGCCTACCTGACAGAGGGCTTCGGCAACCCAATCCGTGCACTCTGCCCCTGCTGTCATCCCCGGAGAAGAGACCGCTGCGAAAACCAAGGGGCTGGCTTGTGGGGACTGAGCTAGTCGGCCACTCGGCGCCCAGAACAAGCCCAGAAACGAGAGCTGCCCACACCCCAGTCCAGAAAGTCCCCAGAGTCCCAACAAGGCCACTCCAGGCCCCAGGACTCAGCCCACAAACGAGCAGAGAGGTTGCAGCTTCACCTGCTCCATCTCCCCCAGCCACCCTAGCCTACACTGGGCCTACCTGCTCAGGCGTGGCGGCGCCAGCCGGCTGGACACATAGTTCTGGCACCCAGGCCTCTGCTAGGCCCGCGCATGCGCCCCCACCCCGCGCTCTGGGAGGGCGGGACCAGACAGTAGGCATGACCTCCAGGTGACCCTGAGCCCCACCTCGGATTCCTTGGCTAAGCAAGTGGTCCAAGGACAAGTCCTCCTGGCACCAGGCACTGGGCAGCCAAGGCTCTGTTTCAAACATAAAAGTATATTATTTGTGTATCACTAAACAGTTTTATCAACTTGATAGACAAATTTTAATAAAATCTATCTTATTTATTATTTTATGAAAGTAATACATGGTCAACATTAAAAAATGAAAACTTTGTCACAAGGGAAAGAATAAATCAAACATGACCCACTACTCCTGGATATGCAATTTTTACTGTTTTATTATTTCCATTTGTTTTCCTTTACATATAAGCTTTGGGAATATAATTGGCATCCAATTGTACATGTTCTTTCATATTGTTTTTAAATTTAATTCTTTACTTTTGACATCATTAATATTCTTTTACAATATGATATTCTGTTACATTTATTTACTCCTGTTCCTTTTATTGTTCCTTAAAATTTATTATAAATAATGCTTGGTGAACATTCTTACAGGATATCTGTGCACATCCTTATTTCCTAAAATAAATTCCTGTATGTAAATTTGCCACTCTGTGTTACTAAATAACTTCCTACAAAATTATGCCAACTTACCCTTCTATTAGCTGTCAATGGAATGCCCAGTTACCTATAGAGATGGCAACATTTGTCCTTACTATGCCCATTGCTAATTACTACCAGGTTGGTATATAGAAAGTGATATGTCGTCTTTGACTGTTTCTTCTTGACTGCCAGTGAGTTTGAACAATTTTTCATTTAGCTATGTTTTACAAAACATTTATGTCTTTTGTCTGCTTTTCTACCAGGATACTTATTTTAATGAGCTTTTCACATATCAAGGCTTCAAAATTTTCCCTTCCTTGTGTTGCAAATGTTTTTTCCTGCTTCATTTACTTTGAAAAATACTTGCATTTTAAATATAGAGTCAAAAGAAGTTGCAAAATATAGCATAGACTTCCTGGGTGCCTTTTATCAAATTCCCTAAATTGATAACATCTTACCTTAACTATAGTACATTATTGAAATCAAAAAGTTGGCATTGGTACAAAGTGGCTAATAAACTACAAACCTATATGAATCTCCATTTATTTTTCAATCTACTAATGGAGACTTTGCATTCATTCATTATGAACTGTTTGCATTCATTATTACTTAAAAAAAAACCTTGACATTTTAAGCTTCTGGTTCTACAAACAAGAAGCTTTGAAGTTGCAACTCCATTTAACAAGTAAAAAGCTGGAGTCTGAAAAGTTAACAATTCTTCTTGGACCATGATCGAAAGACAAAGAGCAAACTGCTAGTCCCATGTTTGGAGGGACATTGTGGCTTCTAAGCACAGAGACTCACAAGCAGGAACTGCATAGGAACCAGCGCTGGGGTCGCAAATTCTGGACCCTAAATTTCAGTTACCCTCTGTGTCATGTTTCTTTTACCAGTCATATAGTAGCTGACTCCTTCCACAATACATGATTCATTTGCAACTCAATATACTTTCACATATTGTAGTCTCTCCTCCAGGAAGACCTGTCTCTGGGGGTGGCTATGTTAGAATTTGAGGGAACCCAGTTAACTAGAACCCACTTCAAGCTCTAGATAAACTCAGAGATAAACCAAAAAAGCAAGCAGAGAGATAGAAACAGGTATCACTTTTATTTCCAGTAGAGCTAATTTCAAAAAATATAGTTTACTACAGGACAACAGGCTTCCTGATATTCTATCCTCAGTAATGTACAGACCCACCCACCCCAAAATAGAAAGTACTAGACAACCACAGGCCTTTTCATGCAGTGTCCTTCTGCTTCATTATTAAAATTTGAAACTAGAGAAAGGGCTTACTCCCAAGAGTGGGGAGGAATGACTTGAGCTACACACAATTCCCAGTTCCTTATCCCATAATAGCCAACAATTAGGAAAACCACTCCATCTTCTCTGAAGAAGAATGACTGAGAGGAGAAAACAGGAGTAGAATGTTAATGACTTGCTTTCAGATGGCAGAAAGTAGGAATGGGGGATGAAGTTAATCTCCCAACACACACACACACACACACACACCACCACAAACATTCTCTACCTACAAAGGCCCTAGTAATACTCAAACATTACCTCGTGTATTAAATTTTATTAGACCTCCTAACAGATTCTCCCTTCACTTTGTGCATGTAAATAAATCCAACAGTGATAGGAAGAGTCTTGTATGCAGGCACAAAGAATACAAATACAAACTAGGTGCTATTTCTGCCTTCAAATACTTGGGGAAATTATATCTGTGACAGTCTAATAATAACTTGGATTTTTATCCTCTACATTTATTCTATCAACAAATTTGAAAGCACTAAGCACACAGACACATTTTTTCTCCATGAAATAATTTACTCATGTCATTGTACTATCTGAAATCTGTCTACCTTATTTGACCCTCACTAATCTATACTCTGCTTTCATCATGGCCCTGAAATCCTTCTCAACTTCTTTCATTTCTTGTCCAGATCTAGCCACTCCAGTGCCACCAGTAATTATCGCCAAATGTAACAATTCATTTTTTAATCCTTCCAATTTCCCTAGTAATTTTATTATCCATTCTTGGGTGGATGCCTTTGTGTTTGTATGTTTCGAATTTATAGCTATAATGGGAGAAACCTGAAGTGACACAGCTCATTATATAAGGATTTGGAAATAACATGGGCCAAAATCCCAGATCCTAAGACACAGCAGTAAATATAATAAAATCACGGTATAAAATGTTTAACCTATAAGGAAGGCACTGTGTTTGTCCCTGAATAGTTCATTATAGAGGTTCCATTGTGTTATTCTTTCTCCCTATCTCCATGGCTTGAGAGTATGATCATGGGCTAGATGGTTAGATTAAATGACCTTTGGGAGTATGTTTTTAACCCCCTGAAATTCTGTAATTCTGATGAATTTTCTTTTTTTGGAAGTATGACACAATATCTTCATTTTTCCAAAATGATGAAAATGTAGTCTAACACAGTAATTAAAAGTACAGATGCTGGTGGCAAGAGTAACTAGCCTCAAATCCCAGCTCTGCATATGACCATAAAGCAAATGATTTCTTTAAGTCTCCATAACTCATCTGTGAAATGATGATGAGGCTTGTATCTATCTCATAGGCATGTTGCGTGGATTAAATAGGTAATATGGATAAAGAACTTAGAACAGTGTCTAAGTATACCATAAGCTATCAATGATTGGTTAGTACCAGTATACATGTGTTAAAATAAATCCATGAATTGTAGGCACTCAGGAAACACTAGAGACCGATCTTGGACTTGAATTTTATAGACTTATCCAAATCCTTTTAAATACCCTGTTTCATTAAAATGAAAAGGTTTTAATATTAAAAAGGCAATCTTTCTCGAAAAGTAATTCTCAGCATATATACCAGGCATATATAGATTGAATCTACCAATCAAATCCTATTATAGGACCACGTTTGCATAATTTTATTGTATTAAAAATACTCCTACCTACTTTTAGAGTCTGAATCAAGCATTGCATATAACTGTAATATCTCTATTTTGCAAGATCGTGCTGTAGGTGTATCACATGTTCTAATTAGTCTACTGACTGCAGTTTAAAAGACAAAATTGAAGAGCATATTAAGTAATTCCATCTGCCTGGATAGGGAAGTTAACTTTCAACCATGGAATGGCTTAAGCAGTGGAAAAATTTGGCACAGTTGCTCATAAGTCATTTTAAAAGCATTAAAACATATTTCAAAGATTTCAAACAAGCCATTATTGTTGCTGCCACTCAAAACATGGAGTAAACATCACTTTAAAAAGATATGTTCTTTTTAATATATCAAAACAAACAACTTAATGAGTAAAAATTGTTTTCTCAAACCATTTTTTATACATTGGCAACTCATCCAGGAAGTTTTAAGATAAAATTGTGGAAACCATTGGTAAAATTTATCATTGTCCAAAAAAATCAAAATGCATGACACTCAATATGTGATCATTCCACCAAAAAACTCCTCTAAAAATATGCATCCTATATTTACTTTGGAATTCTACTCACTAGAACAGCTGTATTTTTGTCGATCTTGATGACACTTATGGTTTATGCTTATCTTGTGGCTAAGACTCATTTTATGTTTATACCTGCCCTCTATTATCCAAAGGGTTAATTGTCTTTTAAGTTAATTTAACAAGAAAGTGTGGAGCACCCACTCTCTGTAAGATACTTTGTGGGATATTGGAAGGGGTTTAAAGTCGTTTGCAACAGGCTTACCCCTCATAGCTTCCAACTCAGGGCTAGCAGAAAGGCAATACAAGGAGCCAGATTTTAAACTAGGAAATGGGGGCACTGAGATTGCGAGTGGGTGGCAGATGAGTCAAGTAGGGTGGTCTAGCACAGAGGTCTGGTTGGCGTATGTATTCTCCATCATGATGACACAGTAGGCTTGGAACTTGTAAAGAACAGGGACAGAGCAGATAGTTCCTGTTCTGGTTCTATTTGTCTACATTGTCTTTCTTCCCCAGGCTTATGCATTTGTTGACAAAAACATTTAGGACCTCTTTGTAGATTTCTTTCCACTCTTGAGTCCCAGATTGTAGACTCAGATTTCTTTCCACTCTTGAGTCCCAGATTGACAAAGCTCCAGGGAAAAGATCTGTTAGCCAGAAAGTGAAAGTCACATTTTGAAAAGCTAACAGGTAAATTGGAGGACTGGTCATAAGAGCTGACTTCATTTAACTGCAGGACTAAAATCAAAATGATTGTGGAGATTATGGTCACAGACCAGAATTTAAATGTTATAAACTCTAATGATGTAGAAATAACATAGTGAAGGTTTGGAGGAAAAAGGACAGATGGTGGGTAGTAAAGACTAGCTGATTTTCTCATCTGGTAGAGCAGAGGATAGAAAGATTATTAAAGCTGATAAATCATATAATAGAGCTGTAAGTACATTTCAAAGTCTAAAGAATACAACATGAAAACTTATCAAGAATCAAGTGAGTTTTGGAGGAAGCTGGAGGGGGGAAGAAATAGAAAATAATTTTATCATTATTCCTGGTATGAAGTAGATAGATAGAAACGGAAGTATGTGGGGAAGGGGTCCTGCCATATATTGTTGATGAGAGTTAAGTGTAAGAATTTTCAAAGGACTACTCTAGAACTGTTGCATGGGACTAAGAGGCAAAGGGTGACTGCAGAGTGTAGTTTTAGAGAATGAATGGAAATGGAAATACAGATGATGAGATGATGAGTCTTTTCCTGCTACAGAGTATGAACCACCTCTCTAGCACCACTTTGTTCTATTGTAGAACCCAATATCTTTGAATACCATGTACTACTTCCCCCCAAAAGGCCAAATCTCCCTTGTTAGCAGCTAGATTATAGCATGCCACCGAGGCTCCAATAATCAGCCACAATCATATGGAAGTCAGTCATCCAAGCAGCATCTCCAGCACTGTGATAAATAGGGGCTCCCGCATTCAAGTGCCCAAGGTGGGAGGCTCATTCTTCCCTCGGGGCAGTTCTGAAGAGTTTAGGCATTATTCCTAGCTGGCTGTCTCCAGACCCGACTATCTGCTTTGCTAGATACTTTGCGTAAGTTACTCAATATGCTTTAAACAATAAATTTCTTTTCTGCTTAATAGAGATAGAGGGGAGTTCTGTTACTTGCAACTAAGAATCATGTTTGACTTGTATAGTGCTAGCAGAAAACACCCCTAGAAAGCAAAAAACCAAGTTATACATTCTTTATTTTGAAAAGACCAAGGATATCATATTTTCATTAGCGTCCATGATTTTTTTTAATTAATTAATTTATTTATACAAGCACTGGGTACAGTCAGAAGCGCGGGAGGGTGAGAGAATTCACCAGAGCCAGAGCGGGAGGCAGAGCAGGCAGAAGGACCGAAGTACACTGCTGAGGGGAGCAGCGGCCTGCAGGAGAGGTCTGTGTGCCAGCTTCCATGATTTTTGATCATTTAGAAAGTAGCTTCAAACTAAAGAAGCCATATGTCAGTGAAATGTCCCTGCCCTAGAATGTTTTATCTCTTTCAAATATAAGTTAAAGTAGGCCTCTGTTAAAATAGGTCTTAGTTTTAAGCGCAATTATGCTGGAATCACCAAAAGTTAACGAATACTAAATAGGTAAAATTAAATACAGCTGAACCTTACTAACTTAGCTTGCTGAAACCCTCTGGAAGGATCCTAAGGATAATGATTCTAAACTCATCTAAAATGTTTATTCTAGGCTCTCAAGCTTTCTTTTAAGCCTGGTGTGTAACCAGATCACAACCTATTGTGAAAGGATTATGGGATAATTCCATTTCCACTGCCCCTCTCGTCCATAGCTATGAAAGCAGCAAAATAGACACATTTTTCCTGGAGTTTCATAAGGAAGTGCTACAGCTGGTGTCCTTTCCTACTGAATGGATGTGTGCACTGTGGAATTGATGTGTTGATTACAGGATTTCTAGTCTCGTAGCTCTTCAAAGGTAGGTTCTGGATCACAACATGAACATCACATGGGAACTTCTTGGAAATATGAATTTTACCAAATTGGAAACTCTGGTGGTAGGATTAATAATTCTGAGTTTTAAAAACTCTGCTGGTAGCAAAGAAAATCTCTAAAAAATGGTGTTGGAGAAACTGGAGAGCCACCACATTCAAAGGAAAGAAACTAGCCCACTATCTCACACAATAAAAGTCAACTCAAAATGGATAGACTTGGATGTAAGACCTGAAACCATAAAATACACAGGAGAAAATATAAGCAAAACACTCCGCAACCTAGGCCTCAGTGAAGGATTTTGTCTCCACTAGCAAGGAAAACAAGAGAAGTAAATAATTGTGACTACATCAAACTAAAAAGCTTCTGCACAGTGAAACTATCACTAAAACAAAAGATATCCTCTGAATGGAAAATATTTGCACACCATACATATAACAAAGGGCTGATATCTAAGACCTACAAAGAACTCATACAACTCAACAAAAAGAAAACAAATGATCCACTTAAAAAGTGGGCATAAGAGCCAAAGGCACTTCTCCAAAGATATACATATGGCAAATAGACACATGAAAAAGTGCTCATCATCACTTACTATAAGGGATATGCAAATCAAAACAACGATGAGATACCACCTCCAACCTGTGAGAAAGTCCCTTATCAAAAAGACCAGAAACAGGGCCTCCCCTGTGGCCCAGTGGGTTGAGCGCAGCTCTGTGAAGCTGTCTGCAGCCTCTGCAGCATGGATTCGATTCCCAGCTGGCCGGGGACATATCCACATGGTGTGGCAGACTTCTCCCATCTCACCCGCTGCTCCCCTCAGCAGTGTTTTCGGTCCGTCTGCCTGTTCTGCTCCCCACTCTGTCTCTGATGAATTCTCTCACCCCCTGCACCTCTGGCTTGTACCCAGTTCTTGTATATATATATATTTTTTTAAAAAAAACCAAAAACAAAGGTTGACAAGGATGTGCGGAGAAAGGAACCCTGTACACTGTTAATGGGAATGCAGTCTGGTCCAAGCACCTTTGGAAACCATTAAAAATAGCTCTATCACAACATTTCCATTCCTAGGGATCTACCCAAAGAGTACAAAACCACTAATTAGAAAGGAAATAGCACACCTATGTATATTGTAGGAATATTTAGAATAGTCAAACTACAGAAACTACCAAGGTACCCTAAAAAGAGATGAAAGGATCAGAAGAGGTGGTATACACACAATGAAATATCAGTTATTAAAAAAGACAGACTCTTGCCATTTGTGACATGGATGCAGCTGGAGGAGATTATGCGAAACAAAGCAGGTTAGAAGGAGAAAGGCAAATACTGGATGGTATCACTTTATGTGGAACACAGAGAAAGAAAATAAAGGGTCAGATAAAGTCAAACAAGTACCAAATCTTAGAAACCTTACAAAGAACTGAGGCTACTATGGTGGGGGGGTGGTGAAAATAAGAGGGGAGGAAGCACAATGGACTAGGGTGGTAGACTATGGGTACTTTGGTGGTGGGTGGAGTGTAGTAACACCTGAAGGGGGAAGATCTCCTAACTCTAGATCATAACATTGTAAACCAATGCTACCGCAATAAAAAAAAAAAAAAAATCCCCACAAAATTCCCACCCCCCTTATTTTGACTCTAATCCCTCCTTCCCAGCTGTAGTGGCAGGACAGGCCAGTGGGCAGGTTTTCTATGATCCAGCAGACCAGGTAAAGGAGGAGAGAGTCATGGAGACCTTGGTGGCTTTTGCAGGCTTTTATTGGGATTACCAGGTACACAGCAGTCAGGGGCACTGCCTCCCGGCCCCAAGCAAGTCTTCACTCTGGGCTCTCCGGCTTTCTCTCACATTCTCTCTGCTCTTCTCATGGCTCTGCTTCTCTCTCAGCTTCTCTGCTTCTTTCTCGGCTTCTGCTGGCATCCCCATGATGCCGCCCTTAAAAGCCCAGTCTTAGCCCAGGTGAATCCCATCTACCTATGGCCACACCGTACTCCAGGTGCCCGTCATCAGGCATGCATTTGGGAGCACAGGGTTCCATCATCTATCTTAATGGAGGGAGGGCAGAAAAGCCTGATACTTTTACCTTATCCTACACGCCCCTTCCTCTAGTGTGTCTCTAGTTTATAGTTGCTTGTTGATTTTGATTTTTACTTTATTATAATTAGTCTTTTTCCTGGTCCCTTATTTAGGTTTTCTAAATTCCTGCTATGGGTGAGACCATCCGGTATTTTTCTTTTTCTTTTTGGCTTGTTTTGCTGAACATGACTCTTTCCACCTCCATCCTTGTTGCTGCAAATTGCATGAGTTTATCTTTTTTGATTGCTGAGTAATATTCCATTGTGTATATGTACCACATCTTCTTTTTTTTAAAGATGTATTTATTTATACAAGAAAAGGGGTACAGGCCAGATGTGTGGGAGGGTGAGAAGATTCACCAGAGACAGAACGGGGAACAGAACAGGCAGACCGACAAAATACACTGCTGAGGGGAGCAGCAGGTGCAACAGGAGAGGTCTGCTTCACTATGTGGGACCCTCACTGGCCGGTGGGGATTGAGCCCGTGCTGCAGAGGCTGCGGACAGCTTCACAGTGCTGTGCTCAACCACCTGTGCCACCAGGGGAGGCCCTGTACCACATCTTCTATAACCAAGGTGAAAATGCATACATTGTGCAAAAATGAAAAATGATGTAAAAAATATATAAAATTTAAAAAAGATCATAATGGAGATTATAATAGAACATGGAAAAATGGATGTCATAATTAAGAAACAATGAAATTATGTTCATTACACCTATGACTATAATTATTTAAAACAGTTATGTATGTAGTCAAGGCAGAAAATATGGAAATTAGAAAAGAGTTATTTGGAGCTTTATGGTAGTTATTAAAAAATTATTCTGAAAAACAATAACCTTAACTACATTGATAGGCCAACTTAGTATTCATTGTATGCTTTCTGAAGCTTGTAGTTGCTTATAAACATAAAAAAAAAAAATTAAAACAACTCTCCTTGGTGTTTCTGATGTCTACTAATCACTTTCTTTGGGTACACAACTAAACCACTCCAATCAAAAGAGAATCTACTTTTAAGAAGGAAAATCAGATTTTTAAAAAAGATTTATTTATTTATGCATACAAGAGCTGGGGTACAGGCCAGAGATGTGGTGGGTGAGAAGATTCACCAGACACAGAGTGGGGAACAGAACAGGCAGACTGATTGAAATACACTGCTGAGGGGAGCAGTGGGTGAGACAGGAGAGGTCTGCTGCTCCATGTGTGTTTCTCTCTGGCCGGCCGGGGAACGAACTCGTGCTACAGAGGCTGCAGATTGCTTCATAGTGCGGTGCTTAACCCCTTGCGTCACCAGAGAGACCTGAAAATCAGATTTACTTAATAACATATTTCAGGCCATTAAAGGTCTTCTCTAAGACTAGCTTAATTTCATTATGTTCAATAGAACCAGTCTTCACAGAGGAAATGTAGAACTTGAGGTTACTAAGATCTAATGTACAAATAACTGCTCCTGGTGTCATTAGGTAAGTATCCTTCAATCCTTTTGGATTGAATAATCCCAGTTTCTTTTACTTTTATTAAAGTAAACTCTTCATCATACTTGTCAAGTTGCAAAATAAGCCTCATTTTACTGTTTACATGAATTGAAACACATTTTCTGTTATTGAACACTGTTACAGAAAATAATGCCACAGAAAAAATTGTCTATATTCTGATTCCACCTCATCCTTATTCTTCCTCCTAAAAAAAGTTTTAGTTCATGGTAAGGTCACTAAGTATTTCACATATATTGCATTAAACATTCTGATCCTCATTTGCCCTATTAAATAAGAATTGACCAGATGGATATTCCTCTGACTCTCTCCTGAGCAGGTTTTAGTTAATTAAAAATGATTATTTTTACTACATATTTTATATATCTTCCAGATGTTACCTGTGGTCATTTATGGAAAGGATCATTTGGTGGTAGTTATAATTTTCATATTTTCCTTTGGGAGGCAAGACTCTTGAGCATAATCAAGAAGCAAATGTAGAAATTGATTTCACCTCATACCTTTTTCCTAGTGCCAAAATGGGTATAACATTCCATATCCTTTGAAAGAACTATCTATTCAATTCTTTCGCAGCACTCCTTCCCACTATGTTGTGTAAAAAAACATCAGGTTGATAGAAGAAAAATTAATGTTGGCTTCCCTCTGAACTAGACACGTAAGGTGACTTTTCCAAAGAAACTGATTTGGTTTATGTAAGATGTAACAAACCTTTCTATCACAACAGAGATTTCATCATGTCACTGAGGATGTGTTTTCAGAGACATTTGTAGCCTTTCTTGCTTTTGCACAGAACTCCTTGGAAACTATTTTTTCATACAACCTAATTTGCCTAAGTTTCCTGATAGTGCTGAAATAATCCAGAATGAGACTGAAACACCATAGTTATGAAATTATTTTGTGATTACACTCATCATTTTCTCTCCATTTGCAGACCAAATGGAATTCAAACAAGGCTTCTAGTTTTCCTTTCAAACAATAAAGTCACATTCAACTTTCATTTATAAGAAAAAAATTAACTCATGAGATCAAAATTCTGAAGGTTTTAGAGCTATATTAACCACACTATCACCTAGGTTAGACTTAGGTGGTTGGTGTACCTTGGGGCAAAAGTGAGTTTTTTGAGTCTGCAGTTAACATGTGACAATATGAAATTTTCAATTCCAGAGTCCTTAGTCATGTTTTGTAAAATATTTCATGGCATGATGTAGATGTAGGATCCGACTGTCTGCTTGAGTTTTTGAGTTTCTTTTCTCTAGTAAAAAATGATGGTTAGAACCAGACAGTCTCTAAAATCTCTTTAAGCCCCTAAATTAAATGACTGGTTGTTCTAAAAATAACCTTAAACCCTAATAGGCCTTATTAAACAATTATGAAAATTTCAGGTGTGTATAAATTAAGCTTTACACACAGAACACATCAACTCAGTTTCTCAGCGTATAAAGCTTCTGCTTCCAACGTTCCAAAGTACACAAATCTACTTGCAGTAAATCACAGTCACCTCAGAAATGACCTCTTCCTCTTATGTTTTCAGAGCAATCAGTATTTACAAGGATCTTCCTATTAAAGTCCTCTGTGCTACATTTGATTTCAAGAGCCAGGTAAGGGGAAGACATTTCTGATGAAGAGGCCAATAGTCCTTGGAATAACTGTCCCCCCAAATAAAAGATTACTTACCTTTAGATCAGGCTGTGCTCACTCCTAATATGTTTGAGGGACTTGCCAGTATTAATTTCCTATGTGAATCTATAATTGTCCACAGAGGTCAATTTCAGTGGATGCCTCATAGAAATTAGAATTGAGGATAATGATACCTGCTCACTTGATCAACTAAAATGGCCAGCTGGGTTTAATGGGAGGAAAACAAAAACCCCTGTGAAACTGGGATAGCTTCAGAGGTGATAGAATGTAATTATTTTTCTGCCATGTTTCTTCTCCAAAGTGAGAAGCGGCTGTTCTGGTGGAGACCAGGGCCACATGTTATGAAGGTAGATGGAAATGGCATTCAGAGCCAATGACCACACTCAAAGGCTGAAGTGCAGTGTAGGTTTTCTGCTATTGCATTGAAGCAGGATGTCATCTCCATTCTTATTTCAGTCATTTCACGTAGATTTAGAGGAATGCTTTGAGGGGAGTGGCCTAATTGTCTCTCAAGAGGCAAATTCTAATTTAAATTGCTAGAAAATTGCTCTTTATAGCCAGAAAACATTTTCTTGGATCTATTATAACCATTCTTAGGATAACAAAATTTTAGGTCTTCAAGAAAATTGCTGTCTGCCCCAACCCTTTATTTTAAGGTGAAGAAACTGAGGACCAATTCCAGAGATGTGAATTACCGGGACCGGCATTATAAAAGCAGAAAAAGGAAAAGCATGAGCTAGAATTCTGCAGATGTGAACATGGAATCAACTGACTCCCAGCCTGGTATTGTCCACTGAAGAATTGCTGGAGACTCATCCAGAGAGGAAGGAAGACCCTCTCAATGCAAATAACCCTTTGAGAAAACTTGTGCTCTATAATCTGGTAGAGGTACTAGCAAGCAAAAAGGTGGAGAAATGGGGAGAAAGCACAAAGGAACAGGCAGACCTCAAATCTGATCACAGTGAGCTGTGTATGTGTCTGTGTGAGCTGAGGGACACTGAGCTAGGGGATGAATGTACAGACTCAAGAGCCACATTGCCTGCTGGGTTTGATCCTTGACACTGCTCATTTTGAGCTCTGTGACTTTTGGCAAGTTGCTTAAACTCTCTGTGCCTCAGTCCCTTGTGTGTATAAAGGTTGATAAAATCACTACTTCCTATTGTAAGGATTACAAACTGTACTATACTTTACTGCTATAGGAATTAAATAAACTGAATTATTTAAAGAGATCAGCACATACTAAGTGCTATGTTAGGGTTTGCTGTTTTCCCGCTAGTCACTGCACCAGAAAATCTTAAAAGTTTCAGAATATTACAAAAATCTATTTTATTAATAATGTACTGAGGTACTTTATCTGAGATATTCAAGGACTCTACTAGAGAGATGAGAAAGTCATGGCAAAACCTCTTCTTATGTTTAACAGATGAATTTTTCAATACATATTGTTAAAATTGAAAGTTTTTAATAAAAAAATCTATCATATGCTCCAGCAATTCTACTCATAGGTATCTACCCTAAGAAGCAAAAACAATAAATTGAAGGGATAGGCACTCCTATGTTCACTACAGCATTATTGACAATAGTCAAGTATGGAAGCAACTTAAATGCCCAAGGACAGGTGAGTGTATATATACACACACACACACACACACACACACACACACACACATATATATACACACACACAATAAATACTACAAACAAAGATGAACTGCCAATTGTGACAATGTGGATGAAACTGGAGGGGAGATGGTAAGTGAAATAAGTCAGGAGGAGAAAGACAAATGGCAGATGGCTTCACTTCTATACAGGATACAGAGAAACTAAGGGTCAGATAAAACCAAACCAATTCTAACAAACCCTAGAAATCTGACTGTAGATTTAAGGCTACCAAAGGAAGGAGAGCAAAGTGGGTAGTGGGCCCAATGGACTATGGTGGAGGACTGTGCTGCCTTGCTCATGGGTACAATGTGGTAATATACACCTAAAGGGTTTGATTCTGTACCTCTAAATCATATAATGTGTCATAAACCAATGTTACCAGAATAAAACAAAAACTTTAAGGATTTTTTTCAAACATGTAACTTACTGGGATTTTTAAAAATTGAACACATTTAGGGCCTCCCTGGTGGCGCAGGCGGTTGGGCGCAGAGCTGTGAAGCTGTCCGCAGACTCTGCAGTGCTGGTTCGATACCTGCCGGCCTTGGAGCAACTCACATGGCGAGCACACCTCTCCTGTCTCGCCCGCTGCTCCTCTCAGCAGTGTATTTTGTCAGTCTGCCTGTTCTGTTCCCTGCTCTGTCTCTGGTGAGTTCTCCCACTCTCCCGCGCAACTGGCCTGTGCCCCTGCTCTTGTATAAATAAAATTTTAAAAAAATAATAAAATAAAAAAAATTAAAGACATGCAATGATACACAGCATTTCATATAACAAGGACAGAAATTTTATTAACAAAATAATTTCTGAAAGAGCATATCTGTTGGAAAACTTAAAGAATTTTCAGGGCAGGATATTAGTGCTAAGCCAGCTCCTCTGAGTTGCCTGAGTCCAGGAGAACTTCAGGGACAACACATTTTCTGTTACTAGAGCACGTTTCTTGGCAATTTAACATTTTTTTCCTTGGAATTTAATGTTGTCAAAGCTATCAGTAACATTTTACTTGGCATTTTAAGAAAAACCTTCATTAAATTAACAGCGCAGATCATCTGATAATTAAGAGCATCTCAGGTGTGCCTGAAATGAACACATATGTGGATTAGTTTTTTCTTTCATTCTTTGAATTAAATTCAACAGACACTTGAAGAGGAAAAAAGGTCAGTTATTACCCATTCCCCCATTTCTTAATTAAATAATTTTAGCAATGTTGTAGCAAAGTAATTTTTAAACACTGTTGTAAAGAACTTTCTGATATTGGTCGCTTGCTGATTTAAGGCATTGGAAGATCATGGTAAGCCGCATATCTTCCAGTCACTTGATGGTAAATCTGTTGAGGAAAATCAGAGTTCAGATCATTTCTAATAAATTATTATACTGATCAAGTAATAATTATACCGGTACATAAGTGATAATTTTAATTAAATTCATTATAAAGTGCCACTATTAGAAGCTTCAGTAGTAGGACCTCCACCCACCCCAGTTCAGGTGGGGGTTTGCTTAGAAGGAGGCAAAGAGGTTTGGGAACAATGAAGTGAACAGATAAGTTTTCATTTCTATGCACAGCTCATTTCTTCCTCAACAACATTTATCATTTTGCTCCAAGGACAATGGGTTATTACTCACCTGTCTCTCAATGTCCAAAAGCAGAGTGCTGGCCCCTATTCGAAAGAGTTCTGGCTTCAGCCAATCATCTCCCAGCTCCTCCTTTATGAGAGAGAGCCACGCAAGGGAATCCTTTGCACTGCGGATGCCTCCTGCTGGCTTGAAGCCTACCTAAAAGGGAAGGGGAACAGTGTTTGCTGTCATTGGATTCCTTTTTTAGATGATACTGCAGGATTATGTTAAGTGAAATAAATCAGAAGGATAAAAACAAATCCTAGATGATTCCACTCACATGTGAGTATAAATAAACAAAGCAAAGGAAGTGACAAAAACAAACCAAAGCAAAGCCTTGGAATCTGACTGCAAAGATAAGACTATAAGGAAGGGTGCAGGAGGGCTGGGGAGCAAAGGGTAGAGGGAGTTCAGTGGACTGCAGTGGAGGATGATGAGAGCTTTGGTGGTAGGTGTGCTGTCTGTGATAACATACATACGAAGAGGTGTGAACCTGAACTTTAAAACAATGCAGTGTTGTAAACCTCAGTCATTGCAAAAAAAAAAAAAAAAAGAGAGAGAGAGAGGGAAAAAAGCACTGCATATTAATACTGGGTCTCAAATTTACCCATCCCCTCACCTTAAAATCTATTTTATTTAACCCTGGAGAAGAGCTTAGATCATGGACTCACACCCATTCACACTACAAATGATTTCTCCGAGATTAATGGGAACAATGTCACTGCTTCTGGAGAAACACTGATGAGAGTTAATAACCCTATTAACATGTCACTTATTGGAAAGTCATAAACCCCAACTATCTAGACTATAGCCATCAACATGGGATAAACAAGAGAGATGCCAATAAATAGAGAAACAGATGCCACAAACGCCCATTCATTTTACCCTTCAAATAAACCCTTCTGGTCACCTTTCAGCCTTTATTCTAAGGTGCAAAAGACACATATGCGTATTTAAAATGAGGAGTGTGTCAGTGAGGATACAATACCTAAACTGGCAGACATCAGCAAGAAGAGTTGACAGTTGTTTAAATCAACTTAACTGCAGGGACTTTTTTCTAGTTGTTAGTAGATGGAGTTACATAAAGCAGCAGACCAGGTAAAGTAAGCACAGTGGAAAAAGACAGCGTTGGGGCTCTTCACACTTGAGTCGTCTTTGAAGGTGACCATAAAACAGCACAATTCAGCCTATATGCAATGTTTATAAATGATGTCCCTGACTCTATTAGCAAAGGAGAAATGTCTTCTATGTACAGTAAAACCTGCAAATCTGGATTTACTTGTTTCAAGCACTTGAATTTGCAGGAGACTAGAGACTCTACAGATGGCAGCAATCAAAAAAATAAAAATCCACACCCTATGGCCTAAAGCCCATACATTTGGCCACTCAGAGTTGTTGGTTTAATAGGTAATACCAGCAGGGATGACTGTAGTACAATGCTAGAGGAGAGAGACAACAGATAAATGGTCCCAATATCAACCAAGCTAGAAACCTCATAGTTAACGTGGGCTCCGCCATCTTCTTCACCACCCCATAACCAGTCAATCAATGGTCATACCCTACCAATCCTTATTTTTCCCCCTTTAAATAGTTATTTACTGGCAGTAGGCTGGAAAAGGTGATGAGGTTAGCAAACACAGACAACAGCGTGCATGTGCCAATGTCACGAGGGAGGCAAGAGTGCTGGGAAAAAGCACCTGGAGCCTTGGATGACGCCCCCTCTTCAAGAGTATGGGGTGGGGGGGGGCAGGGCTGGAGTGCTGATGGGGCAGCCTTAGAAAACCTCCGCTCAGCAGGCCTGGATGCGGATGAAGAGGGACTCACTGGCTGCTGCCCTGGCCTGGCTGCTTGGTATGTACCCTCCTTAGCAGCTGTTGGCCAGGGCTCACCTAATGCACTTCCTGGGCAGCCTTAAGGTTCTCCTTCTTTCCGCCCCAGGCCATAGGAGAAGCTCAGGGCCTACGGCTTCATCAGGGAACACTTGTTGATGGCACCACAGTTGATGGATGCCTCCTCCTTGCTCCAGTCTCCAGATAGGAAGATGATCCCAGAGACAGCAGGCTGCACTGTGCAGTAAGGTGCCAAGGAAATCTCCTCATGAAAAAATTTCTGGGAGCAGGCATTGTCTGGAGTTATCATAATGGGCTTCAGCAAGATGCAGTGCAGGTAGGCATTGGTCACTTAGAGCCTTGCAGACAGTAATGGGCACCTTCTCAGTTACTTACTTCCAGCACTGCAAGTGGTGCCCATCAGGGAGAATCAGGCTCCATGAAGATGATGCTATTATTCTAGAAGATGCTGGCATAATAGGCCCCAACATTGGTGTTTTCTATGATGGTGACAACTGAGTGGGTGTGTTCCCCAATCTTCAGCACACAATGGCACTTGGCAACGTCAGCTCCATCCTTCTTCTACTGGGCACAGCATTCAGACAGCTCATCCAGCCCTTGGGTGGTAGTCATGCCAGTTGTTCCTGCAGGGGTACTGTGGCTTTGTCTGCCATGATGCCCACAACTCTGCTTTTGGATTTGATATCTTGGGGGAAGAGATGATGGCCATCATCTGCTTTCTGGTAGAAAGTCTCATGAGAGAGGACGACACCCCTAGTGCCGGGGTTCATATGTCGTTGGCAGCCAGCAGCAGCTGTTGATAGAAGCACCAGTTTTCCTTGGTGCTCTCAGTGCCAATGAACTGCAGCCACTTGGCAACGCTTTCATTGGACTCATCTTCAGCCAGGATGCCCTTTCCTGGAACCACTATTCAGAGAGTTATGTCATGTAGCTCATTTCCTGCTCTGGGGTCATGTAGCTCATTTCCTGCTCTGGGTATCAGTAAGTGCATGTCAGTCAGGTCCACCCCAGGAAGGGGGTGGGTTTGTGAGGTGCAAAGGTGGAAGGCGGCAAGCTGGCATGTAGACTGAGAGAGTGAACCTGGCAGTCATCTCCAGGACCCTGGTTCTTCAATCCTACCTTCTTAACCTCTGTATTTCCCATATGCTCACCTCATTCTCTACTATCACATTTACTGTTTTAGACACTCATCAGTTCTCACATGGAACACAGGTGACTCCCTGGGTCACCAGCATTACACCACTGAGCAGCACCCATGTAGAGATTTGAACCTTATCTTCCTGTTATCTGGAGCTCAAATGACTGTGTAAGAGTGAGGGGCAGAAGTGAGGGAGATAGTGGGATGAGGTTATTTATTAAGAAGAGCACCTCCCCCTGCCACTCAGTTAGTTGACATTAGCATACATGCCAAGCTCAGGAGTATATCTATCAATTAGACATTGCCGCATATTGATTTTTCTATATAGTTCAGTTGTGTCAGCAAGTCTGTTTGGCAATGTTTCTGATGAGAGGTTGAAGCATAAGTTTAGCATTTTTTTTTTTTAAAGATTTATTTATTTATTTATTTATTTATTTATTTATACAAGCACTGGGTACAGTCAGAAGTGCGGGAGGGTGAGAGAATTCACCAGAGCCAGAGTGGGGAGCAGAACAGGCAGAAGGACCGAGGTACACTGCTGAGGGGAGCAGCGGGCGGCAGGAGAGGTCTGCGCGCCATGTGGGAGCTTCCTCCGGTGGCCGGGGAGCAGCCAGGGATCGAACCGGTGCCGCAGAAGCTGCAGGCAGCTTTGCAACCCAGTGCTCAACCGCTGCGCCACCAGGGAGGTCCCAAGTTTAGCATTTTTTTAAGGGAAAATATGGAAAACATAAATCTGTAATGAAATCAGTTATGAAATATTAAACCTCTGCTTCTCAGGAGTGACACTAATCATGGTCTAGAAGGTGTCCCATCAACATTTTTAAACACCCGTTAAATCAAGGATGTGGAAACTTCACCATGTAAAGGTGGTCCAGGCAATGTGGCAACAACCTGAAAAGATTGCAGACCTATACACAGATTCCCTCTGTGTGAAATCAACTGTCACTTAAATGAGTGTAATTTGTACCTGTTCATTTCTTAATAAAACTGGGATGAACTCTTTTTATTAGCTGAGGAAAGGGTCAACTGAATTAAAGACAGGAGAGCCCCTCCTTCTGTACACTGCTCTGGAACACTGTTTTTGACAGTGTATTTGACACTGTATTTGACACCGTTTTAAATTTTCTGCTTGTGGTGTGAGGACTCTCTTGGAAAGTAACCTGTTCATTTTTGTATCCCTAGCACTGAATCTCAGTTAGCATGGCACAGCTAACTATTCAGTAAATATGTGTGGGACCCCAGTGGTGATTTTTAGCCCCAGTGATGGAGCTTGGGAAATGCACAGATACCTGAGGATGACCCCTGATTAAGAAGCACCAGGGAGGAGGATCAGAGCATCTGTAAGTGAAAAATGCTTCACATCTATTTTGGTGTTATTTGGCCAAGGAGAACCACAAGTCAAGTGAGTGATGGTCTCAGCTGGGGCCCAAAGCTAGAATGCTTATTGCTATGGCTTTTAAAAAGAAAATTTAAATTTATTTGGACCGCTACAAAAAGCTAACAAATAGAGGTTACCCAAGTTGGGCTGACTTTCATAGGTGAGTCATGGTACACATTTCTCCAATTTTTAAGATAAAAAGATACTCTGAAGGGGAAAATTCTGGAAGGAGTTCGTTTCCTCTCAAACTCTGTACATTTTTATGAAGGTCTCTGATTCTAAAAATAAACTAAAGGTACAGTCACATACAAAGTCATCACATCCAGTTGGCAAAGGTCATTTTTGGGTTTCTATTTGGCAGAAATCAAGAGACTATTTTAAAAAGATGCCTTCTCAGGAAAGGAAAGTCTCATTTTAAAAAATATTACCTTTCTCTCCAATGATGTAAAAAAAAGTCCTTTGAGATAATTTGCAGCTAAACAAGCAACTTGAAGTGAAAAGGAAAATCCAAACTCATTTTAAAAAATACCTCATACGCATTTTTCCTTTTAACTTCGTATGTTTCAAAAAATATGTATTATTTTTCGAAAAGCTGACAAAAGCTAGCATATACCCTCCTCAGCTTAACAGTCTTCCAAAGAGCACATCCAACTGCCATAAAACGCAAAAATGGATATTTAATTCAAGAGCTATATAACGTCGAGCTACCTTTTCCCTGCTGTTTCACAGCATTTCATTATTTTGTTTAATAAGTTCATCTCCTCGAGAATTTTCTCTTCACCTCATATTATTAAAAGTAATAAGTTTTTCTGGACCGGGGGTTTCCCAACAGAAAAACCAATTTATGTGTGTCCTTCAATAATGACAGGAAAAGATTATTTCCCATTATATTGCATACTTTTCATATCACCACCACAGCTTATCATTCAATAAATGTTACTCTGCAATTCTTTCCATTCCTCAAGGAAGTTTAATTTCTGCATTAACCTGTTTTCGCTGGCCAACGCCTTACCAGACAGCCTCTGTGTTGCTGCAGAATTAGTTCGTTAAAGAACCCATTTAGGAATCTCTTGTCAGTGATAAAATTGTCTTCGGCTAATAAAAGGACATAAAGTGAGTTTACATCTTGATCACACATACTTACTCCCCACACTCACACTTACTTTTTGTTAATCGCACATGTTTCTCCAAGAACGTGTTCGTTTGTAATGAAAGGCAAATTAAACATTTATCTTAATAAAGGTAACTCATTCACACCTTCTGCGTATAAAGGTGATGATCGTGACTGTGACTAGTATTATAAATAACATTATCTGTACTCTGAAGAAAGATTTGCTGGCAATAATATACCTTGTTTCCAGTTCTCCAGAAGAAATCTCTAATGGCCCGTAGCATTACTATAGCTACCGGGAAAGTGGCATTTACTGTTTCTTTTCCAGTAGAGGTCTTAATAAAATCTGATCCTACAACAAAAGGAAGAAAAACTCCATGTTAATTAAAAAACTTAGCTTTTACACTTTGGAGTCAGTGGAGGAAAGAATCACGTAAAATTTTTCCTGATGAAAACAGTTACGTTGTTCATTAATCATTTGAAATAAGAAAAACAAAAATTTCTCTTTAAAATAATACGGTCCATACTTTCCCCCCCTTTTACCATAAGATGAATTAAATTAGGCATCAAATGGATTCTCACTGTACCCTGGGGCTCCTGCCTCCATTTCCTTATCACCAATTAAAATCAACTTGGTTTATTTAATGCATAACTGAGATGAATAAAAACAATTTTATGCTCCGTGCTGAACATCATATATCATAACATTTTAGAACTACAAGACTGGAGCACCTACTACTCATTTCTCCCCCATGTTCATATGTTTGATAGACAATCCACAGTACAGTGATACAGCATGAGCAGTGTCACCACTAGAGGATTTCTACTATGATGTTTGTTCAGGCAAGCAACATGTCTTCCACAGCTGGGGATTTTCACGACCAATTCAAGCCACTTGCAAATATTTTAAAGGACTTCTGTCTCTCCTATGTCTCTTAAATCCATTGAGGTAATTTATCAGGCTAGCATGAGGAGACAAATGCATGATAACAATAATTCAGATTCACTGCGGGGTATAAGCTATGCACAAATCTCCGTGTTCTACAGGTACAAACTCAGTCAATCCTCACAAGTGCACAAATTAAGTTCTAATGTGATCTCCCTTTTTAAAGAGGAAATTGAGGTTAAGTAACTTGTTTAAGGTCACATAGCAAGCAGGGAAAATGCCAATTATGACAAAAGCAATAAAACAAAAGAGTGACTCCCAAAAAAATCACCTAGAGTGACACAGAGAGACAGAGAGAGAACCCCATCCTGCATATGGCTACCTATCCCCAAAATACTCAAAGCCTGGACCACAGACAGGTAGCATGGACACACATGGAGGCTTGTTAAAAATGCAGACTCCCTGGTCCTACCCTGAGTCAGAATCTGAGTATCAACAGGATGCAAAGTGATTTTCTGAGCAAATTCATGGTCATAGCCCTCTGGAACTATACATAAGGCTAATCTCTGAGATTCTCCCAACATTCATCAAAGAAGTGGCTTGATGGAAATGGAGGAAGGGGGTGGCCAAAATGTTCCCTGTTGTTTCAATTGGGAAAGATACTTCCATGATTTTCCATGGATTGAAAGATTCAAATCAATACACTTTCAGTAAACAAACTGTTTGTAAGGCACAGTAAAAAATAGAAAAACAAATAATTCAAGCCCATTCTCTCAACAGCATTCATTCTAGGTTCAGAAGCAAGTGAAATATAAATATAACTACCTGATCAGCCAGAAGTCAAGAGATCTGACTCTGAGCTCTGGTGCTGATATTTACCTTGCAAGATCCTGTTTGTAAATTAGGTCTGAAAACTCTTGCTTGCTTTATAGTTTATACAAGGAATCAAAAGAGACAATCTATGTGAGAGCACTTTGGAAACTGTCAAGTGTTATACAAATGTAAGTAAAACAAGGGGAGCTAGGTAGGAATTCTGATCTATAAGAGCAGATGATCAAGTTTCCTATTCTTTTGGTCTGTAAGTCCACTGGGAGAAATGCAGACATGTCTGCGTGTGGTATGCTGAATGCATTTATTCAACAAACATTTCCTGAGTGATTACTCTGTGTTAGGCTCTGCTCTAGAAGCTGGAACAGACCACAAAACAAAGAAAATTTCTCCCCCTTATGAGCAGATTTTCAGAAGAAAAAGACAATAAGCAAATATAACAAATGTCAGGGGGGTAATAAATGCTATAAAGAATAATGCAATGCAATGAGGTAGAGAGTGTCAGAGAAAGCTGATTTCAAAAGTCAGCAGAAAGCTGTCTCTGAGTGAAATTCAAAGAGGGATTGAACGAAGAGAATCTGGGAAGAGACTTATAACCAGGAAAACAGCAAGTGCAAAGGCCCTGAATAGGCATGTGCTAAGCTGATCACTAGATGACTGAATGAAAGACAGAATGAATGAATGGGACCACAGAACCAGTGCTGAGTCCCTATAATAAGACCATAAAAGAAAGAGAAGAAATTAAAACCCCCAAGTAAATGTTGGAAGGTGAGGGGAATATTATATCAAATTGACAGAGACCAAGACATGTTTTCCTAATCTATCGCATTGTTTTCTGATTCACTCAAAGGCTTCTGGGGACAGCACTGGACATTACCAAAATTCTTTGAAGCTGCTCAGAAAAGAATATTAAGATAAAAGACCAAGGCTACAACTAAAGGGCTGAAAATGGTAACTTGAAAATCACACTCTTTAAAGAGCCAGATTCCTATGGGGGAGAAAGGGGCAAAGTAAGGAAGGAGGCACTTCCTGACATTACGTGGGAGGAGCAGAGAATAACACTATTATGGTAGCAGCAGTGGTCCTGGAGTAGGAACACATGGTTCGTCTGTCCCTCCCTAATCTGTATGGTAAGTTTGTTTGAGGGCAGGGGCTACAGATTCCTTATGAACTTCTACACCCCCAGAACATGACATCCACCAACAGGCACAATAAATTTTGGATGGTTGACCACAGGTACAAAAAAAAAGCAAACTTTAATATTTTCCACCTTTAATGAAAAAGGGAAGACAGTTTGGGCCTCATTCTAGTCCCAGTCATAAAACTAGGCATTTGGCTCAGAAGAGCATACTGTTTGATCTGTTTGTTTTTAATAGATGTTAAATTTTACAACAGCTTCAAGTCTATAGCAATACTGTGCAGAGTTTCCATATTTACCAGTTTCCCTGATTATTAACATGTTATGTAGTATGATATTTCTGCTACAATTAATGAAACATTAACATATTATTAACCCCAACCCATGCTTTATATACAATTCTTTAGTTTTATTCAAAATTCAATTTTATCCAGGATACAATAATATATTTGTCATGGTTCCAGGTTCTTCTTGGCTATGACTTTTCTCATTTTCCTAGACTTTCCTCATTTTGATGACCCTAATTGGTTAGCTATTTTGAACAATTTCCCTCAGCTGGGATTCCTTCAATAGTCCTTTTTCTTATGATTAAATTGGTTTTCCGGGTTATCTAGAAGGAAATCCATAGAGGTAAAGTGAATTTTTCACATCATATCTAGGGTCCTCCCATGACTTATCACTACTGTTGTTGACCTGGAACTCTTGGTGGAGATACCATGTTGGCCAGGTTTCTCCACTGGAAAGTCACTTTTTTTTTTTGCTATCTTTCATAACGTACTCCGGCAAAAAGTGCTGATACATACTCCCTACAAAAGGAGGGGGGAGTTATAATCCATCTCCATTAGGGGGAAATAACTACATGCAATATTTAAATTTTAGTGTGGGAGATTTGTCTCGTTTCCATTTATTTCTTACAATCTTTTATTCACTTATATCAGCATAGACTCAAAGATTTCTTGAATTTATAATCCCATATTACATTTTGTTGTTCAAATGGCTTCTAGCTTTGACCACTGGGGCTCTTTTAGTAGCTTCCTGTAAAACTCTTTCAACAATCTCCCACCATGTGGATTTTTTTTATCAGATGTATGTTTTCTGTTCCAGTCCTAGAATAAGCCATTTCTTCAAGGAGTCCTCATTCCTTTAATTGGAGAAACATATTAGATACCCAGATGATGGTATTAGGTATACTCATTGCTATAGTAGGGGACTAGCTTTTAGGCTATCTCATGCAAATGGGCAAGGAAATGTATGTATGTATGCCACCTCATTTATATGCAATTATTCCACCTACAAATAATTTCAAAGTCAAGTATCTATATCTATGTAAACTAGACACAAGTTATAATGATGTCTCCAACTCTACCTCTTACCACATGGATCATTCCTATTTTCCCTTCTCTTTGGATTTTATTCCCTTTTTTCAGGTGTTGAATTTTATTTTATTTTTTAATATTTTGTTTTATATAATTCTTACATCATTTTTCATTTTTGCAGAATGTATGCATTTTTATTTTGGTTATATTCCCCATACAATTGAACCCCTCCTTATTTTGACCCCAATCCTTCCTCTCCCCACCCCACCCCCCATAGTGTGTCTCTGGTTTATAGTTGCTTGTTGATTTTGATTTTTACTAAACTACAATGAGATACCATCTTACACCAGTGAGAATGGCACATATTAAAAAAAAACTAGCAACAACAAATGTTGGAGAGGTTGTGGAGAAAAAGGAACTCTCCTGCACTGCTGGTGGGAGTGTAAACTGGTCCAACCACTATGGAGAGCTGTGTGGAGATTCCTCAACCTACTAAAGATAGAGCTTCCATATGATCCAGCAATTCCACTCCTAGGTATTTACTCAAATGACACAGAAACAGTAATTCCAAAGGGCACCTGCATCCCTATGTTTATAGCAGCACTATTTACAATAGCTAAGCTATGGAAACAACCCAAATGCCCAAAAATAGATGACTGGATCAAGAAGATGTGGTACATATACATGGAATATTACTCAGCAATCAAAAAAGATAAACTCATGCAATTTGCAGCAACATGGATGGAGCAAGAAGGGATCATGCTCAGCGAAATAAGTCAGAAAGAAAAAGAAAAATACTGGATGGTCTCACTCATAGCAGGAATTTAGAAAACCTAAATAAGGGACCAGGAAAAAGACTAATTAATACAAAGGATTTTATTCATTTTTTTTAAAGAAGTAACACAGGCTTATGACACTGCATATAATTTAAGGTATAGCATCATACTCTTTAGATGTATGCTACCACACCCTACCCACCACCAAGGTACCCACAATCCTCCATCAGAGTTCATGTTCCCCCTCCCACCCACATGGATCATTCTAGCCTGCTCCCCTTGCTTATCTATAAACTCCCAGGCCAATCATGATAAACCTGCCATCTGTCATCCATTTATCTAATTGTTCATGTCCAGAATCTAAGTATCATGCTATCGGAATTGTTAATCATGGCATCATGAGAAACA